TGAGTTGCAATTCTTTTTCTTCCTCTTTTTTTCAAGAACATGAGCTGACAAAATCTCATGGAGTCTCTTAAAAATACGACCGTTTATAACTTGAGGTTTCGGATCAATTGCCGCACGGCCCAAAAGGGAAAAAAACTCTAATTCCCATATTTTTGTCCGGCTCATAGTAGAAAAAAGGTAGAAGCTCTATCATTCCATGAAGGCTGGATTTACTTAGGAAGTGCGTAGAATTGAGGAAACACTTAAACAAAAACTAACAAGAATTAGCTCTTAGTTCTTCAGCGGGAAAAGCTGATCTGCTTTTTTAAACTTTCTCAGCTGTTCTATCCGCCCCTTCTGACATATGGAACTTCCCGTAGGTGGCGTCTGGAAGGGGGCGAGTTTCCCAATAACGAACTGTAACATCATCAAAGCCCAGGAGATCCCATCTGCGCTGGCCATTCCTTCATTATTTATTCATATACTTATTTACTTGCTTGTTGTGCATTGGTTGCGCATCGACAGGCGATGCAGGAAGGATCAATAAATTTCATCGCTGCTTATTCTCGTAAATTGCATAAGCCACTGTAGAGTTTTTGAAGCTTTTCTTGGTGATTCTACGCTTCCAAATGATAATGTGAACCACTTAGAAGACGTTCATATGTAAACGAAATTGGCAATTTTGCTTTACAAAATTTATGGCTGCATAGAATTTTGGGCCTGCCAAATGACAGGTCACGTGTAGAAAGTGACAAGCCATCAATCATTCTGAGATGCATGAAATTTAAAAAAAAAGAATAGTAATACAGGAGCCATGTTTGGTGTTTGTATGAGTGTGTGGTTCCTTCTAATAAATCTGAGATTGTGCAAACTAGCATGGCTTTTCTCCCGACTTGAGTAAACGCTCTTCTGGTTGGTTCTTGGTTGACTCTCCCACGGTGCCTCCTACTTTACAAGCTTGAAATACCAGTCAATGCTTTTCTAGCAGCTGAAAACTGTGAGCAGACCTCTTTACTTCTACTATAGGATCACATTTTGGATTGCTCAAACAAAAGTATTTGCTCTGCTTTATTTCCTCATGTTTCCTTTATTTTCATTTGGAATAAAACTTCATATCCAAGTAGCCATCTCAAAAAGGCCTGTTGCACTATCCTCTCGATTGGTGGGCTGGTAGATAAATAAAAAAAAGAGCTTCCCTCAAGCGTCTGGCCCTTCTTGTAAACCTCTCCTCCCCAGGCGTTTTTCGTTTTTTTGTTATTCTTTTTAAGAGCTTATGAAATATACCACCGTATTGAGAGCGTTCGAAATGGGTAACACAAAAAGGAATTTTGTTGTTAGACGAATACGTATGTCCCCTATTTTTTGCCGTTTCTTTCTCAAATGAAAGCCCGAGACAATGATGCAATAAAAACCACTCAAAATCGTTTGATGGTTTCTTATCTACTATCTAAAAAATCAAGCATTCAAATAGTCGTACTGATGTAATACAAATGTCTAGGACAGAATAAAGCCAAACTATCGAATGAAATGAAAGTCTAATGGCAAACACTCACTACAAACTTTACAGAATTTTGCCATTACTTATAAATCCCAAGTTTTCGTCTCGAACTGAGCTTCTCTGGTGCGTACATACTATGTCGCTTAGTCGCTCACAGTGACCTGATTTCATTCGATGTAGCTGCGGATGACGAATGCTGGTCCAATTTCTGAAGAGAGGGAGCAACATTGTTGCACTCTGTTGCGCGATATGTTGGACGTCTTGCAAGCAACTGGCAGAGAAGGCTTCATCGCCAAAAGTTGGGGTGGTTGATAATCAAAGGTTCTGGGATGACATAGTGAGCTTCAGTAAATAGATCTGGGATGCTACCCTGACAAAAGTGTGAAGAAAATGTTTTTAAATTCTGCAATATGGGATTCCTCTTGTTCGTACTTGAGGAAGGTCACATTGCAGGCTAATTTCTGCAATGCTAAAAATTTGCTTCCATAGAAGCTGTGGCTCACATGCAGTAAATTCCTACCAACAACACCGAGTGAAGAATCGAATTCGAAGCCGATTTTGAATTCAGCCTATGGTTTTCTGACTTTTTATGCGAAATGAATTTTTCTTATTTCATCACCATCCCATGAAGAGACATTTTGATGCACTGGCTTCTCATTTCGTAGCATACTCCCTCCATACATATCTCATCATGTCCGTGTCTTCTGTTTTTCTCAGCTCTGTTGTTTCATGTGAGCCCTTCTTCGGCCATCACAACTCAATTTTTCCTATCAGTAGGTGACCTTTTATATTGCACTGCTATCGCTATAATTGTGAATGCTGTCTGGAAAAGGAGTCGCAAAAAAAGCATTGAAAAGTGCGTATGTTTCCCTTTTATGCCAGCGGTTATTATTCTCAGTCTTTCAAAACCATATAATTACTTCCCTACCAACCTATCTTCTGCCCTTTCTCTTTTAATATCTAATTGACATAAAAGGATGAAGTATTCAAGAGTTAACCACCAACCTGTCTGAGTAATGCGCCCCCGTATTTGACTTCCACTCAGAATCACAGCGGCATGTTGAATGCGTGGCCTTTACAATGACTTGCGGTGGCCAGCCGTTGTACAAGTTAGCGCTTTTATGCTCCCAAACGAATCTGGTACCAAGTAAGCGACCCAGAGAGATGGGAGGCTTGGTCGGCCTAGGCGCGAGGGATTGGAACCCGTCACCATGCGTGTCTGGTATGCGTTGCTTGCTATGCACTGCCTCCACTCTATACTTTTATGTATGTTTAATACACCTTACGAATTTTTTAAACCACGTTATTCTGAATTCTACATATTATAAACACAATAAATCTAACACAACCTATTACAAGAATTTAAATTCGATTACGATTTCGGAATAGATCATTCACAGCTTCTAAAACATCGAAAATATACTTAGAAAATTTTCCGCAATATGGATCATATTTCTGCTGAGGTGCCTCCCCCTATGTATGTTTCCAAAGGACAAAGTGGGCGAATAAACGCGCGAAGGCCATATCACAACTAGCAACAACGAGCAGCAAATCATTGCGGTGAATCAAAGTTTTTAAATTTGGATGAAATAAAGGAGTTACATTGAGGAAAACAGTAAAATTGAGAATGAGGCTTTTGGTGTTATTCAATCCCTTTCTGTGATATGTCCACTAAGTCGATTATCTTCAAGATATGCGGTGGACACAATGACGAGCAGAAGCCGGTCCTTGTACAAGCAAAAACTTTCATATTCCCTGATACATAAGTCTGTTGTGTCATCTCTACATCTAGTAGCCATTCCACGCTGCACCGTCCGTCCCAAAAATGAAGGGTTACTGCCTAAAAGCCACGGATAGTTGACAGCTTATTAATAAAGTAGTGGACAGCATATTAATAAAATTTGTTTTTGGACGAGTACATCTGGTCTGTTGCAAAAATTTACAATTTACTCGAAATTTCTAAGGCTTCAAGACATTTTATCGAGCATAGTCAGAGCGAGCTAGTGAAATCTTCTACAGAGCGGTTATGATCCAACGGAATTATTCCTAAAATTTATAGATAGTAAAAACAGAAATGAAATGCTTTCCAAGGCTAAACTACATCTCTATTCTGATATATATCAAAGTTTCTGAATACGCTCTTCATTTCAGATTGCGGATATGTCACCGCAGGAACCGCACAAGGGGTTAGTTTGCTTTCAAAAATCATAGCAACGGTGAGCCTACTCGAATCAACTTCACACTTAATCTTTCTTCTTTACATGGAGATGTATAGATCATGTAATTGCTCTCTAAAGTTCATTTTGAGGTCTAGATAGAGCTATGAAGAAGCTGCTCCATTGTTTTCATGAAGTGAAGTCCCATACGCATAAGAGCTGCGAATGTCAAGACCCTCTTCAAAACCACCTCCTAGCATTCTGCTCTCTCCATGTGGCCCTTTTGGCATATTTCTGCCACAACCGTTAATAGCTGCCGTTCGTTTGATTCTACTTGGAATCGCTTGTTTGCCTTTCCGGATGTCTGAAGCTTATCCACATTCTTAATTGAGAGCAACAAAAATTTCACAAAAGTCATCTAACAGCTACAAATACTAAATTTTCAGTAGTTCTTTTCGAAAGATACAGTCTGGACAGTTTCTCTCCATCTCTATTCCAATTCTACGGTCCATCCTACGATCCAAGCCTCGATCCTTTTCCTTTCGCATTTCTAATTGCAAGTACATACATAGAATGAGATGCCGCGACGAAAGGTAAGCCTTAAAGGTAGACAATTTAAGCATACCCCTTCGTCTTATGTGGCAAGTCCCCCATCATCATCATCTGTATCATCTGCCCTTCACTAGACCATAGCTTTGCTCAAGGCCAGCAACTTCTTCACTTGCCGGTCTGAGGTAGTCTAGTGGACCCTTCCCGCTGAAGTGGCACCAGATGCACTACTCATTTCCCGCGGAGCTTTCGTGAGGAAGTCTGACAGTTTTTTTGGCAGTTGTTCTGATGTTAAGCTAACATTCCCAGAGGTCCATGTCGGCTCATCTTTATGACTGATTCGGTGGCATGTAGAATATAAACCGTGCCCACAAACTCTGGGCGCGCATACACGTCTGTGAGGAGACAGGAGGTTCAAAAGGCAGTCCATCTCCTGAACCCACTTGTGCCTCTGGAAGAGTACCAATAGCTCTTGGTTTGCGGTTTACCAATAACCAACCAAGTAAACGAGTCACATCGTTTTAGACCTAGCAATTTGGGGCACTACGGTAAGATACCATTCCGATAATCCAAAAAGAATTAGACGTGTAGAATGTAGGCAATCTAGAAAACGATGTTGAGGAAAAATGAAGACAATTCGCGGTGATTTTGACGTAAATCATGTTCGAACGGATTTAAGCCTTTGTTTATGTGTGTTATGTGTTTGTTTATGCAATTAGCAATATCTCTCAAATCAACTTCAATTGCTTTGGGCCAGCACTTGAGAATTTTTTCCTTCATAATTGTTCACCAGAGTAGAATTATTGTGTGCTGTATAAATGGCAATGGATGCGTTCAGGTCGCTATCTGAGTTAGACCAGAAGAAATCTCCGTGGCGGTCTATATGGATTTCGATTGGGATGCAGTTCATAGTTGGAGTTCAAACCTCAATCTATTATATGTCAATGTGGCCGTATCTCAGTAGCGTAGGTGCTTTTGCTATCATTTTTGCTTGGTTTCTTTCGAGCAGCTAGTTATTTTACAAAGTAGTTCTAACAATTTTGCATGGAAACTTGGATAGCTCAACACGTTGTTTGTCGTTTACGGACAAATAATTAAGTGACTAGTCGGATAAAAGTTTGAGCTTCAGCAAGTACATTCGCTGATTATATGACATGGAAAGGATCACTTTGAAGCTAGTTTTGAGAGGAGAGCTCTATTCATTACAGGTCGATCGAACAGCAACAGTGGATTTTCTGGGTTGGGTGATCGCCGCGTGTAGTCTAGGATGTTCCGTTGTAAGTTCTCAACCGGAAATGATCATACCTTATTTTTTGCTGTAGAGTAGAGATCTATCTGAGGAAAAGCCTTTTGTTGTCTATGTACGTTTTCTTAGAATTGCTAAGGCAGCAAAGTCAATCTAAATTGTAGATTTTTGATTAATTAGACGTATGGTAGCGATAAAACGCGACAGCGTCGCTTGCCTTAATGTTGAACTTATACCATCATTATGTACCTCCTAGCTATAAAGGGCTGTTAGCGAATTCTCCTCACTCAGCCAAGTTGTTCTTTCAGACGACTATGTAGAGTGGCCTAATGCACATTTCAAGTGCCTCCCTCCTTTCTTCTTTTCTTCCGAGTGCTAAATCCCGTGGAGTCGTAAGGACCGCTGTTTTGTACACAGCCTCCATTTCCTTCTGATTACGACGTCATCTGTCACTAACTTAGCTTCGACGAGTTCATTCTTCTTCACTGGTCCATCTAGACATCTTCATTCCAGCTAAATGGAGCTGTCTTTCATGGTTTTCAGCTACCCTAGGCAGCCCTCACTGTCCGCACGAAAGCCCTGTACCCTTCCGACTCCCTTGAAACCGTCTACGATCAACTTTGGGAGCATCCCGGATTTGAAGAGCTTGGTTCTCCTCACAATCAGCCGGAGCCCATTCTTCTCCAGCACTTTATACCTGAACACCAGCTTGTCTTTGAGTTCCTCCCGACTCACCGCCCCAGAGCGATGTCATTTGCATATAGGATTGGGGTCTTTAAAGGTCATTTAATTAAAGGCATAATTCACGGTAATGTTGGTTATCCAGATTATGACGGAAAATGAAAGAGAAGGTGGACAATGGTGAAGAAAGGAAGGCGAAGAAAGCAAGTTAATCAGTGTTTTCAAAGTGATAAAAGGCTTCGAAAAGTCGCTAAGTGGGGGCTGAACCAGAATAAGACCGGAAAAGTGAATTAGGAGGGGTTTTTGGACGAGCTATACAATGCGTGTCATTGCGTGCGTGTGGGTCAAGGTGCGAACAACTGACTAAAGTAAGCGAAAAGGTAGTTCAAAATTATTCACTCATAAGCATAATTACACTACACTCTTAGCAGAAAAAACACTACACTCTTAGCAGAAAAAATCACTTACCTTTTTCATCCTTTCAAGATAGAATTCTAGGTAGCGGGCCGCAGCAGCAAAAAGAATCACAGAGAAAAACAGAATAAAAGTGAAACATTACTTCACTACTTGGCGATCAGCTGATTGCACGCAGAGCGTGTGGGTCCTGATGCGAATATTGCAATGTGATGTGTACCGCCACTGCTCGTCTGACTTAACATCAGTCAATGGGCATGACATCTGACCGACCCGGTAATATGGCTCCTATCATGCCCTAACTCTTGAATTTGGGCCTGACAGCGTGCTTTCTGTTACCCTCGGGCGGTGGCCACTGGTAATCCTGATGGAAAATCTAAGAAGCCGTTTTCATCGTGAATTGTGCCTTTAATTCCTTTACTGTGTTCAATGCCTAACAATCGGGTGAGCCACCCGGTCCCGCGCTCTCCGAGTGTCTTGCATGCCTCCAATGCTCTATCCAGACCGAATTTTCCCAACGTTCATCAGCCCATTATTCAACAAATCTCACTTCTGACTTCTCTCTTTCTCGACCCTCGAACTTCTCGTACAGAGGATACACTTCCGTACCCATTGTCTTCGCTGCGGCAGCCTTGACAATCCTCTCGCAACATTTGTAGACAACTGAGTGTTCTGGAACTCGTATCTTTTTACCCGCGCTTTCAAGCGGCTTTCTTTTGTCTTGCAGTTCGATGGACTTCATCGCTCCAGCACCACGCTTCCTTGTCTCCTCACAATCCACCTCGACTCTACCCAGCGTTTCGCGTGCGCACCGTAGAACTTCGTTCACAGCGCTGCTCCAATTCTGCTTGATCAACTGTCGGAATCTGGGAGGCAAGGTTCCAGTTTGGTCCTTTTTTGAGGTCTTCTTCTTGGTTCGGTGCAGCTTCTAGAGTCTGTTGTTTTCAGTTGGGAGAGGCCTATGCTGTGGAGCTAGGTCCCTGTCAAGCAGCCCGTCCATCTCCTTCACAGTTTTGAGGGACCGTCTTCATACAGATACATGCTCAAATTCTTTTTTATCTTGATTATCTTCTAAAATTCCCTTTTTCCGAAGAATGAGCTGCAGACTGCTTTGCAATGGATAAAAACCAGGTCGCGAACGTTCTCTTCTTTGTTAGCTCTGGCTATTGTTCCCCTACACACGTGAACCCTTTCTGGCCTTCCCCTCCCCTGAGGCAACTCAGAACTGATCTGATGGTATTGTGAAGGCTCAAATGAAACCCTTTTTTGCAATCGGGGGAGTGACTTGCAGTGCATTCACACATATTACAGTCCAGTATCCCTCTCTATGTATATATTCACAGCCATGATTCGAACGCTGATCCTTCTGGCAGTAGAGACATAGTCTTTTGAGATTTCGTCACGACCACACCACAGCTGGGTACCACAGCTGGGAAAAAGAGCTTGACACTTTCTCCGATTTCTTCTGATTTTGCTCCCTACAGCTTGTCTTCTGAACGTGTACGACATGGATGTTCCTGCATTTTATTAGATCAGCAATTCAGAATTTCCTCGGTGTGCTATCTTACGTCGCAAGACACAAGTCGAATTGACGTCTTCTGCCCAGGTCCTTCACTCCTCGGTATCCCTCGCATACGGTCCACAGACTCGAGCGACTCGAGGATTTTGTGTGCCACATCCGGGCCTCATCTAAGCTTCAGGACTGGTTCCTTTTAGGATCTCAGACTTGGTTCTTGTGACTAGGAATTCTCCATCAGGTAGCTTGTCAACCTACGGTTGTCGCTGATACTGACACCATTTTTGCAATTTCCTGTAAGACATGGTTTTTTCCTACCACCGCACTCGCGCTCTTTCTGAGTGCGGCCTACACTCTCAACCACTCGGCTGTCTCTGCCTGTACAATTCAGTCGTCCTCTTTGTTACAATGATGAGAACAAACTTGACTAATTTGTAGTAATAACTGTCCAAAACCTTTACCTATACCGCCTAGATTTCACTTCAATACTTATGGTTTTTTGAATGGATCTGGAAACAATTCGTGAATAGATACATGACAACGCATTCGAACTTTCACCTCTTCTTAACAGAAAAACGAAGACAACTCTTCTTCAGGCGAACCCGTTGTTTGGGCTGTGGAACCAAAAAACCATGTCAATAAAGGCTCCAGTCATCGTTGGAATGATAATGATGATCATCGGTTGGTTGGCCGTCCTTTAAATAACAGTTGAACAGAAAACATACATGTCAAAGAGCAGCATGCCAGTGTCAGTAGGGAGTCTATTAATTTCAACGAAAAGGAGAAGCAGAAAACGCCGACACTGAGAATGACATTAAGACAAAATGGTCATCACATTACCGTACTGGGATTCCGGTCTGAGCATCCATATTCCGTCAAATGGATGCTGAGATCGGAATCCCACTACCGTAATATCTACTGTTGTTGAGGCTAAAGTGAAGTATTTTATGAAGCTCGTGTTGTAATAGATAAACAGATGCAACATAAGTCGTTGCTGAAAAGTTCTCATTCTATTTCCGATTTTTCAGGACAGGGCGTATTCGGCNCACATTACCGTACTGGGATTCCGGTCTGAGCATCCATATTCCGTCAAATGGATGCTGAGATCGGAATCCCACTACCATAATATCTACTATTGTTGAGGCTAAAGTGAAGTATTTTATGGAGATCGTGTTGTAATAGATAAACAGATGCAACATAAGTCGTTGCTGAAAAGTTCTCATTCTATTTCCGATTTTTCAGGACAGGGCGTATTCGGCATCCTTCCACTGTTCAATTCTGGTCAGAAATGGATCATGCTATCAGCGAGGTTATTGACAGGAATTGGCGCAGGTGACGTTGTCAATCCGTTGCTAATATTTTTCAAGTACTAGCGACTCCCACCATCTGAATAGAAATTCAGGAACGCTATCGGTTTTAAGAGCTTATGCAGCAACAGCATCCACACCACGCGATCGGCTCAGCTCGGTTTCCTTTGGTACTGCTGGCTACGTGCTAGGCCTTTCCTTCGGCCCAGCAATACAGGGACGTAACTTTCAGTGAAATCTATGCTGTGATAAAGACTGGGTCTGAAAAACCATTTATTGAGATGGTTGATTGCAAAAGTCCAAAAATCTGAGTTGTGATTGCTGGCGAACTTTTGATGTCTTCGGCTAGGATCCTACGTAAATAACTCAGTCCTGGACATTTTGATGTGTTGCTCAGAAAGTATTTCATCAAATGACGGGCAATCAGTTCTCTAAGCAAAGATCCTCATCAGAATATGCATTGATATCGTGAAGAGGATCTGTGAGAATATCCTTTTTCGATGTTACTTTTCGCATGAAAATTTACTTGATAAATTTCTGTAGTTGGGTAGTATCCGACTGAAGTTTATTATGCTCACGACAGCCCTGTAACTAAATTTTTTGAGAATATAAACGGTAAGAAAATGCATTCAAATGAGAGGGTACACTTCATTCTTTACCGATACATCACTTGTTTAGAGGCAAGATGATTTGAGATGTATTAAGGTGTCCGAAGGGTTTTGAGAAAATTCAGCCGGTTTATTAACACAAAATAACTACAGCAACGAACTTAGACCAGTGATTAAGATAGTGGCACTTCTCAACCGCAATATCTCTCAATCAACCGGGCAGGGCATTGATACCATTCCTCCAATATGAAGAGAGGCGTGACACAGCTCATACGTCTACTACCTACTTGACTCCTCGGCAGCTGGTGAATTTTTCCCCTGTAGAGCAGGCCTATGGGCCTCCGAAAGTATGGCAGTCATATGGTTGAGGTCAGCTGAATATGAGGGAAGCGGGTTAGTCAGGGTATACCAAGTCTTTCCAGCTCATCCATCGACGTCCTTGCGTGGGGTGATCGGGCATTACCCATTACAAATCGAAATTGAAATATCGAAAACTTCCTTTTAGTCGGTGCGAGGTGGGGTCTCGAAGCACCGCTACTCTCAGTCCGTAACAGGATTCTCTTGCGTTTACCGCAGTACACTCTGGTAATCTCTCAGTAAAACACCCGGTCAAACAGAGGAAGAATGAGCTCACGTCTTTCTTGGTGTGAGCGTTTCGCTTTATAGCGAGCTATGGGCTTACGTCCGCTGTTAGGCGTGGCGATTTCCTTTTTTTTCATATGATATCTACTTTATATCCTAACCAGTGATGGAGTCTGTTGATGTCGTCCTTCGCTTACAGTCGAGGAGCTTCTGACAAAACTGACTTGCGGCCGCTCCTGCTCACAATCAGTCAAGGGTGTGGATATGTGCAAAGAGTCCTGATTAGAAAGTGATTCTTGCGTAAGAATGTCGTGGATGATGGATTTGGGAGTAGAGATCATCTCCTCCAAATTCTGCCACTTTGAACAGGATCGCTCTGACGGGAGGCTAGAACAGTATCGGTATGAGGAGAGAGGAAGTTCGAGTCGACGAATTTCGTCGAAGCAAATCTCTTCTCAGAGGTGGTCGTGCTGTTAGTGGTAAGTGCAAAGAGGAAGTGCGCTGCTGCCAAGCAGTCACCAGATCTCATTCCAAGCCTGAGTTCGAAACATTAATTGTAATTCCGTAATGATGAAGCAGAAGGCTCTTGTAGCCTTATCGATGACACATCGTTTGGTCGACGATTACTTCGAACGACCGCGTTTAATACCGATCAGCTATTGTACGTATTGATCTATGAACGCCACTTCTCCTGCTACCGAATCATAAGCTCTTTTTATCGCGTACGCGAGCAATATGCTTTCAAAATCGGGTGGTAAAATTTTCTTGAAACTTTCCGGATACACTGTTATTTTTACCTCAGCCCCTAAATTTTCAATGGAGACATTTCAAACTCTACCTGCCCCAATCGCATTTTCAAGTTTTCAGCCTATTACAACTGATTGTAATCTGTGATAATCATTATATAACCTCAGGAAGTTTAGCTGAACCCCAATTTTTGGCCTTTTCAATAAAGACACTTTGATTACATTCGTTTAATACTGGTGCATTTTCAGGCAGTTTTCACACCAGTTGGGGAGCGTGGATTCAGATTGGGTAGCATTATTTTCAACATGTATACAATGCCAGCATTTTTCATGGTACTGCTATCTATCGTCTGTTGCATCATAATTAAACTATTTTTCAAAGAAGAATATGCTGGTATAATTGAGAAGAAACAAGACGGTAATCGCTTGTGACCTCCCACTTTATTTTTGGCAAACAGATTTAATGGTTGTGAATTCGAGCAATAAAAAGTAAATAGAACTATTCAGAAGGGAAGAACTTCATGGTAATACCAAAATTCGATATGGTACCAGCTGTTATTTGCATTTACCTGTGGATGGTCTCGTGCATGGTTGCAACTAATATAGAAGTGTTGGTTATTCGGTTCAATACTTTCATTCCTTTCCTACGTTGCCCCAAGAAAATCAGTATTTCTCTGTAGTCATCTAAGTTTTATTGATGCTGAACTGATCCGTTGAAGTTCGATGTTTATGTCGATGACTGTGAATGTGGAACGGCACAGCGTCGATCCAACAGATTATTGTAGCAGGACGATTGAAAGGGCAAGAAGGAATGTAGAGGGAAAAAGGGAGAATAGGGTGGGGAAAAGAGCGTGTAACGTATAGCATGAAGATATTGCACGGCATGAAAGTGTTCTTTTTACGATAAAACATTTTAACGGTTTCGAAACGGGGCTTCAAGGAGGAGACTTGTGGTTACCAAACTGTAATGCGTCATGAAAGCGAGTTCACTCACGTACAGTCTCCTGAAGGTCAATCCGAATATACAATCGCTTACCCCGAAGATCCGGTCAGAGACCTTATTTTGTAGAATTTCAACACCTTGGTCCGTTGTGATGTATAACTGGAAAGATTCTGATGCTGTTCTTTATAACGGAATTTTCCAAACTGCGTCCTGCTTAGTGTCCTCAGGAAACAGTTTTCTAATCGGGTACACCCGCATAGGACAAATGTGAGTTTTCCATGTTTTTCACTCTTCCATTGTTGTCCACGTTTTCCGTTTCATGCTACGTTCTCTACATGGGCAGTATTTCCATCTTCAGGGAGCTTAGCTTTCCTGCCTTACAGTACTGTATTTCAATTCCAGAGAGAAAAGAAAGCAAATCTTGTTCGGTATTACGGTATTCCTGCTGTTCCATATTTTCAACTTTCCATGGCCATTTTACGCCGGTCCTCTGGACTATATTCCTGAAGGTAAACAGAATCTTTTTACAATTGGCTCTAGTAACTTCCTTCGTCTTGGTGCGATTTCACGCACCAAGGCGAAGAAAGTTACTAGAGCCAATTGAGCTTCAGCATGCATTAAGAAGTGCAGCTCCGAGCGCATTCTCGCTCTAAGCAAATTCACTCGCGTTTGATAAATCTCATTAATCGATTGCTATAAGACTAGCTGTTTTGCTCGGTCCAGAACTTATCGTTGGATACCGAGCAGTGGCCAGACTGACTATTCACGCTTGGTGAACTGATAGGAAAAATCTGACCACGGTAGTGGACAGACTGCTGACTTATGTGCTCGCTATGCTTTGCCTTGGTAAATGACATTAGAATTAACATTAAGTCCTTAAATAAGCTAAATTACTAACCTACTACTCCAAAAACACTCACCACTTTTTCACCTCCGCTGTGAGCCTTAGTACGGGCTGTGTTCTTGCGGTCAATTACGCTCTCACAAATGAACCCGGTCGAATTCTAAAGTACTGTCATAGCTTCAAGCCTACAGGCATCTATATAAACAAATATAATCAGATCGAAAGGAGGTATACGCTACGCCTATGCTCAAGGAGTGGAGCTCTGTTACTAGACTCACACTCCAGTCCCCCCTCCGTGGTTCCCGCTCGTTCATCGCATTGTCCTCCTTGAAGGCTTACGCTGACTCCGTTCTTCTGTCGGCTACGTGGAATAGGCCGGTGAGCTTGGTAGCCAGTGGTAATTATGGTGGCGAGTCGACAGAGAGCAACTCCTGCTACGGCGTCGAAGACAAGTGAATGGTGAGTAGGTTAGGTGGTGTGTATTTCTGCACGTTTCTCTGCGTATTCAAAGTGCGCTCAGGTCCGCGCACCTCACCAGACGTGCCCATTATCAGAAATCTACGGACGTGAGGACAGAAAGTTCCCTTGCTAATTATTTCTCCCCTGTATACTCAGTAGTGTTACTAGAACTAAAAAAAAGTTTTACCCAAATTTCTATCTTAGGGCGTCTACACAGAATTGCAGAAGCTACCAACTGCTTCGAAACCTTTTTTGGTGAATTGGAAGGTGCAATGTACATTGGGAGGAAGATTCTACTAGTGGACACGAAAATTTTTGCACAGAAATTGATAGGGTTTAGGTGCTGATGATTGCTGGCAAAACAGGAGACATTTGGATTGCCCACCACAGTGGTGTTTCTTCATTGGAACACACTTTTCTTATTTCACCACTTATGAGCACATTAAATTTTGATTGCCATTTCCAATATTTTTTGTTCGGTGACCACGAATGAACACTGTCGACAACCGAAGCAAACGAAGCTAATGACCAATAGCAAAGCTTGAAGTCACTACGAGCACCATCAGAACAACCAACCCACAGATCCTCTGCTTCCCCCTCGCCGTCAGCCTTCGGTACGGGCATTTCGCATCATGCAGGAATTCTTCTTATTGCGGCTCGCCCAAGCCTCTTCGAAGTAAAAAAAGCAAAGAATGACGAATAGTAACCTCTCTACACGTTTCCATTCATACATTCTTTCATTCATTGTCAACTATCTGCTATTCACGTTAAGTATTCTAGAGTGTACCTAAGTTCAAGAAAAGTAGCAGCGATATTTCAGGAAAGGATTCGAGCGAAGTGGGTGGATGCCTTCCGTCTTACAAATGGTGCGAGAGTACCGTACGGGTACCTTTCCCTATCTATATGATCTGCTTTGTTTTTTTCTTCGGCGTTTCCTTTCCTTTCACCGGTTCACCATCTGCTACCCTCTACTCACAAATTCTTGGACCACGTAAGCAGGTGAGTGTTTGTTTGACAACTTATCTTCTATGCAGGCTAGCTTGTCTTAATGGCATCAGAAACCATAGAATGTGGAGCTGCAGTACGAAATTAGGCGATTTCTCACACAGAAGTGGAAGCATCGAAGTCATGAATAACTTAGAAGCATCAAAAATCGGAAATAATGTATCGAATATGATTTGAATGTATTGAATTAAAGTCCCCTAATTCGCTTCTAGTTTTTCAACAATCTTTTTCCTAAAGAGTCTTTCTTGGAGAAGGATTCCCATCCGGTTGGTGACGGGTCTACATGACTGTTCCAAGTGGGAAATGGAGTTAAGTCGAAGACTAGAAGCTTGTGTGCAGATTGGGATGCACGTATCCCATGTGCAATTCAACCGAGTGGTTCAACCCGATTAAATTGCGGGCATAAGTGATTTGCTGTAATTCAGCAGATAAAAATGAGGCCGTCCCGGGTTGCCTCCAGAGAACGAGACTTTTCTGTCTTCAGCATGACTAACAAACTAGCTAAGACCTGGACTCACGCCAGAAGCTGGCAATATACTCATTAGCACATATTGGTGAAAACCTGGCTGAGCTCACATCGATAGCATACATGAGTCGGNACACTAGAGAGGTTCTACTAGACTCTGGGTCATAGCAATTGGCCTAACAAAGAAGGAAGAACATAATGTACGTCTCCCATGTCTGGCTGATACGGAAAAGCGTCTTCCTCTAACTGTCGTTTTCCAAACTGTGAATTATCTGTTTCTTGGAACTGTGTGACAGCAGAGCAATCGACCATTTTGTCCCAGTCAACACCGCTTCGGCTCTGACATCGAAACCCTTACAAAATGGAAAGTACGTTTGCGATAAAACAAAGTCTTCGGCTTCAAAAAGCATTAACGTCCTCCGCCGCCTGCACGCCAACATCCAACGAAGACGAGCTGAGAACTTTTTGCGGGGCAATGGAGAAACTTCACGGAAAAGGCCAACCTTCGTTTGACAGATAGAATTGAGAACGTCATTCTATACATAAATTTCCTCTAGATTTGAACAAGAACAAACCAACCGAAGAATTGATCCCGTTTTATTAAGGATCAATCACCGCCAACGCAACGAAATATTGCTTGTTTTGGAATTTTGCTTCATAGTATACAAATTGCAAGATGGAGGTCGAGAGGTTAAACTAGCACACATTTCGAGAAACAGAAAGAGCACGAGGTTTAACCAAATAAGGTCACAACTTTCCCACAACGAGGGTCCTGGGCGAAGTGGTGCTTCGAATAATTCTAACGGGACTCCTTTATATTAATAGACCATCAGGGCACAGGCTCAAAACGTAAAACACATAAGTCCGTTTGGAGGCGGTTACCCATGCGGACAGTCACTATCCCTGCTAGGGGAACGCTAAAGACTTCTCAGAAGTCAGAGTGATCATCGAAACATCGGTTTGTGATTATCACTAACGTGTAATAATGGGAAAATCTTCAAAAGACAGAAAGATAGGCGAAAATTCAAATTGGATAAAGTGGATAACCCGCATGTGTCAGAAATAAGTAGCTGGTGGTTCAATAACCGAGATAAATGTATTTATTAATCATAGCGCAAGTGGGCTTTTAGTCGAGAACTAGTGACTACAAATAGAACTCGGAGGTAAAAATTGGGCAAACGACCATTAGTGGTCACCTTGTGATCTCAATTTTCGTGTTATAAGGAAATCTGGGTCATAGGGGTCATGTTTGCAGGGTCTGCTAACATTTCCCTTCAGACGTCATGAATTCTGTTCGAGCCCAGGTATTCCTCGTAACTCCTTTCTCGCTCACCTCCTTTATTTAATTCGGAAGTTTTTTATCCTGATGCTTGTACCATTATTATTTATTTCATGTGTTGAGTTAGGAAGCTTGACTGGTATATGCTGTAACTTTCATTTACACGAAATTGCTCGTGTAATAAATGATTATAATGATAATTACAATTATAGCTAAATTGAAAATGTTTCCGTCAAATATTATGGTGCCATTAGTACAGGGAACTTTTCAGGGAACAATGCAGGGAATTCATTCATTTGGCGGTAGCATCGCTCAGTGTGTAGCCCCAATTTTGACAACGTAGGTTTCCTTGAA